CAGCTCCAGTAGCACCAGCACCAGCAGCACCTCCAACAGCACCAGCAGCACCGCCAGCAGCAGCAGCACCTCCAGCAGCTCCAGCAGCACCAGCACCAGCAGCACCTCCAGCAGCGCCAGCAGCACCGCCAGCAGCAGCAGCAGCTCCAGCAGCTCCAGCAGCACCAGCACCAGCAGCACCTCCAGCAGCGCCAGCAGCAGCAGCACCTCCAGCAGCTCCAGCACCAGCAGCACCTCCAGCTCCAGGGTCCGCGACACTAGTAGCGCCACTCCGGAGACTGCAGCGACGAGCGTACCACTCTCGGAGCCGCTGGGGAGAGGGCAGCTCCCGCCTGGGAGGGGAAGCACGAGCACGAGCTCCAGCAGCACCGCTCCTGAGGCTGCAGTACTGTAAGTACCACTCACGCAGCTGCTGTGAGGAAAGAGCGCCTCCAGGTGTAGCACTCTCAGTCGCAGCAACCTCTGGCTCAGTACCCTCAGACGTAGCACTCCCAGGCTCAGCACCCCCATACTCAGCACCCCCAGACTCAGCACCCGCAGGCTCCGCACCCCCAGACTCCGCAACCCCAGGCTCTGCACCCCCAGGCTCCGCACCCCCAGGCTCCGCACGCTCAGGCTCAGCACCCCTAGCAGGACGAGAGTCGACAGCTACCTCGACAGGCTCAACCGGGTCTACCTGGGACACACCTGAGGGAGCGGCACCCTGAGGGGGGAGGGGGTCTACCACAGCAGCACCTGGCGCGAGGAAGAGAGGCGGGGGGGGGAGAGGGGCAGTGCGGTAGGGGAAGAGGCGGTAGTAGGGCACCGACTCGTCAAAAGTGACGTCCTGAGAGGGCAGGACACGGCGCGAGGTGGCGTGGTAAAACTGCCAACCAGACGCGTCCGGGACAAAGCCAAGGAAGACACAAGGAACAGCGCGGGAGGAGAGCTTGTCCGCGGACGTATCGCGGACAAAAGCTCGAGATCCCCAGACCCGGAAACGCGACGCATCGCCAACCTTCCCCGTCCACAGCAGTGTGGGCGAGGTCTCCGGCAAGGAGACACGGGGCCAGAGGTTGAGCTGATGCGCAGCGTACCTGACCGCAAACGGCCACAGAAAGTGGGGGGCAGCCGCATGGATCAAGGAGGTACGAGCGACCTCCATGACCAAGCCAATGCGGCGCTCAGCAACCCCATTCTGCTGTGGAGAGGCCGGAAGCGTGAACGACTGCTCAATGCCCTCCCCCTGACAGAAGGCCCTCAAGAGGTCGGAGGAAAACTCCCCACCTCTGTCAGAGTGCAGACGCAGGACAGGGAAGTCCGAGTGGAACCTCTCGCTGAGCTGGAGACGGGCAGCGCGGATCCAAGGGATCAAAACATCAGGGACTTCACCCTTGGTGCGCAAGGGGAAGACCGTGGTGTAGCGCGAGTAGTCGTCAACAACTATCAAGAAGTACCTCTCGTGACCCTGTCCACGGACGCGGGCTGGGCCCCACACGTCCATGTGGAGCGTCTGCAGGGGAGCAGTCGTCGGGGGCGCGCTGCCGCCCCTCGACACAGGGAAGACAGGGAGGAGCAGGCGAGGGTGGGAGGGGAGGGAGAACCCTGGGAAGACCAGAGACAAGGTACCGGGAGTGCATGCCACGAAGGCGCTGCACTGACGGGTGACCAAGGCGGTGGTGCCAGAGGACGGTCTCGTGCGCCAAGGAGCGACACGAGCAGGGGGCAGACAGCTGACCTGACGCAGACGCAGACGCAGCTACATGAGGGGACTCAGTGGTCAGTGTGTACAGGTCCGACCCCGGCTGCCGAGTGAAGGTAGCCAGGTGGCGACCCGTCCGAGCACACGTGCAGTGTGTCACGCGCTCGTAGGCAGGGGTGAACTGGTGGACACCCCCGTCCTGGAGCGCACGACCCGCCACCAAGTTCGTAGAGAACGAGGGGAGGTAGAGACCTGACAGTGTGCCCGACGGGACCGCAGGACAAGGGAGGACAGTGGAGGAGGTCGCAATGACCGGACCCCCAGAGGGGTCAGCGAGGGAGACTGCAACCGGCCGAGCAAGCTGCTCAAGGGCAGTGCGGTCACGAAAGAAACAGCGGGAAGCACCTGAGTCCAGTGTGAAGGTGTGCAGTGCCTCAGTAGACGCAGTACCAGAGGGTGCAGACTCACGAGTACCTAGAGCAGCAGCCTCACCAGCACCTGGGGCAACAGACACACTAGCACCTAGAGCGGCAGCCTCACCAGCACCGGAGGCAACAGACACACGAGCACCTAGTGCGGCAGCCTCACCAGTACCTAGAGCAGCAGACTGGATACCGGGGTCAGGCGGCACACACAGGTGACAGGCTCCCTCGGCACTAGCAGACAATGCATACATTGCAGTGAGAATAGCATCATAGGCAAGAGCAAAGATATCTACCCGCTGTCCAAGCAGCTCCACCCAGTCGGGGAGCTCAGCGTCATCGCCAAACTCTGTACGCCAAGCGTCACTCAGACGGGCGAAGCAGTGGGACTCTGTGTGACCACGCGTCCCGCAAGGCTGACCAGTCCGGGCACCCGTGCTAATAACGTACGGGCAGCGAGCAGTACTCAGCGACCCTCTACTCTGTGCGTACCACTCACGAAGCTGCTGGGGCGAAAGAGACTCGCGTGGACGACTTTGCTGCTGCACCGGGCCACTACAAGAAGTTCCCGAGCTACCCACTCCAGGACGACTCCCACTACGGCCACCCCGACAACCCCAACTGGCGTACCACTCACGAAGCTGCTGGGGCGTGAGGGACACACGCGGACGGCCGTGAAGCTGCATCTGGCCACGCCAGGAGCAGCAGTAGCAGCAGTAGCGGCAGTAACAGCAGTAGCAGCAGGAGCAGTAAAAGCAGTAGCAGCAGTAGCAGCAGGAGCAGTAAAAGCAGTAGCAGCGGTAGCAGTGCGGGCAGGGCAGTGCTCACCAGTGGTGGGAAGGGTAGGCGCAAGACGGCGGCGACAGCGGGGCCGCTATAGCTGTAGGGCGGGGCCGGGCCGCGGCAGGGAGCTCCGCGGCAACTGCTGCAGGGCGGGGTCGGGCCACGACGGCGGCTGCTCCAGGGGCCAAGGGCGGCTCCTGCAGTGGCGGCTGCTCCAGGTGGCCAGGGGCGGCTGCTGCAGGGGCGGCTGCTCCAGGGTCCAGGGGCGGCTGTAGGTGCGGCTGCTCCAGGGGCCACGGGCGGCTGCTGCAGTGGCGGCTGCTCCAGGGGCCAGGGGCGGCTGCTGCAGTGGCGGCTCGGCTGGGGCGACGCGACGGGCTGGGGCAGCCCGCAAGGGCGACGCGACGGGCTAGGGCAGCCCGTAAGGGCGACGCGACGGGCTAGGGCAGCCCGCAAGGGCGACGCGACGGGCTAAGGCAGCCCGCAGGGGCGACGCGACGGGCTAAGGCAGCCCGCAAGGGCGACGCGACGGGCTAGGGCAGCCCGTAAGGGCGACGCGATGGGCTAGGGCAGCCCGCAAGGGCAACGCGACGGGCTAAGGCAGCCCGCAGGGGCGACGCGACGGGCTGGGGCAGCCCGCAAGGGCGACGCGACGGGCTAAGGCAGCCCGCAGGGGCGACGCAACGGGTTAAGGCAGCCCGCAAGGGCGACGCGACGGGCAGGGGCAGCCCGCAAGGGCGACGCGACGGGCTAAGGCAGCCCGCAGGGGCGACGCGACGGGCTAGGGCAGCCCGCAGGGGCGACGCGACGGGCTAAGGCAGCCCGCAAGGGCGACGCGACGGGCTAGGGCAGCCCGCAAGGATTTTTTTTTTTTTTTTTTTTTTTTTTTTGAACGACGGCGCTAGTAGGGGCGCTCGACGGCGCTAGAAGGGGGGGGCGCTCGACGGCGCTAGAAGGGGCGCTCGACGGCGCTAGTAGGGGCGCTCGACGGCGCTAGTAGGGGATCTCGACGGCGCTAGAAGGGGCGCTCGACGGCGCTAGTAGGGGCGCTCGACGGCGCTAGTAGGGGCGCTCGACGGCGCTAGAAGGGGCGCTCGACGGCGCTAGTAGGGGCGCTCGACGGCGCGGCAGAACGGTGGGCCCAAACCAACGTCGGTCCTAGGTCCTGACCTAGGCGTCGGATACCATGTTAGAAACTAGAAGTGAACGAGAATGATTGAACTAGGAAAGTTGGGAGTACAAGTATGAAACCCTAGAGATTGTACCCCCTAAGGCTAAACCCACTACAGCCTACAAAGCACAAACATATACAATGTTTGACAGTATCAGCGCCGAGACTGATAACCGCCGCGACTTATTTCGCAATATCGGCGACATTGACGAATGAGGTTACCAGTCCCGCGGACGTTGCCTCTCAAAGCACCCGCCACATGGCAACCCACCACGGGTCAGATCCACATCAAGACGGCTGGGGCTGGGGAGCAAGGGGGGGAATAACGGAGAGTCGGAGAGCGGGGAGAGTAAGAAAGGCGGAGGGTGGTGGGGATGGGGGAGAGTCGGGAGCGAAAATGGCGGAGCGGAAGCAGATAGGAATGAGGATGGGGGATCCGTGAACGTCCCACGAGTTTGTTCGGCATTGGAGGATAAGGACGTGTGCCATGTGGCATGCGGTGGTGCTCACACGGTCGTGCTGACAGGTATGTGTCAGTCTGGTGGTAGCAAGAATGTCAAAGTCGAGTTTCAGCCGGCATCAGGGTCAATCCATTTCTGGGATTGCTGTAAGACGTGTGCTTGTGAATTTAAATCTGTCTGTTAGAGGCGCAGATGGCTGGGTGTTTAGCACAGACCTTAACAACTGGCTTTGCATAGACTTATCCCGTGGTGTCCTCTATGTGAGCTTGAAATTAACCGTGGACCCATGAGGCCATGATGATCTGAATGTGGTGATGTGAGTCTAATTGCTCTCCCATGCACATGCATGACGCATCCCCTCAGCGGATGGCAGGGTGTACAGCATGGGTCTCATCGACCAACATTGCATACACATACCCCATGCGTGTGTGCACATGCATGATGCGTGATGCATCCCCCCAGCGGATGGCAGGGTGTACAGCATGGGACTCAACGACCAAGGGCAGCTGGGGCTGGGGGAATCCAACGCTCCACCGTATGTCCCTGTGAGCGCTTGCTACTGCTACTGCCGTGTTGTTGGGGTAAGCACCCGTGCAGCGGATGGCAGGGTGTACAGCATGGGACTCAACGACCAAGGGCAGCTGGGGCTGGGGGAATCCAACGCTCCACCGTATGTCCCTGTGAGCGCTTGCTACTGCTACTGCCTTGTTGTTGGGGTAAGCACCCGTGCAGCGGATGGCAGGGTGTACAGCATGGGACTCAACGACCAAGGGCAGCTGGGGCTGGGGGAATCCAACGCTCCACCGTATGTCCCTGTGAGCGCTTGCTACTGCTACTGCCGTGTTGTTGGGGTAAGCACCCGTGCAGCGGATGGCAGGGTGTACAGCATGGGACTCAACGACCAAGGGCAGCTGGGGCTGGGGGAATCCAACGCTCCACCGTATGTCCCTGTGAGCGCTTGCTACTGCTACTGCCGTGTTGTTGGGGTAAGCACCCGTGCAGCGGATGGCAGGGTGTACAGCATGGGACTCAACGACCAAGGGCAGCTGGGGCTGGGGGAATCCAACGCTCCACCGTATGTCCCTGTGAGCGCTTGCTACTGCTACTGCCGTGTTGTTGGGGTAAGCACCCGTGCAGCGGATGGCAGGGTGTACAGCATGGGACTCAACGACCAAGGGCAGCTGGGGCTGGGGGAATCCAACGCTCCACCGTATGTCCCTGTGAGCGCTTGCTACTGCTACTGCCGTGTTGTTGGGGTAAGCACCCGTGCAGCGGATGGCAGGGTGTACAGCATGGGACTCAACGACCAAGGGCAGCTGGGGCTGGGGGAATCCAACGCTCCACCGTATGTCCCTGTGAGCGCTTGCTACTGCTACTGCCGTGTTGTTGGGGTAAGCACCCGTGCAGCGGATGGCAGGGTGTACAGCATGGGACTCAACGACCAAGGGCAGCTGGGGCTGGGTGAACCCAACGCTCCAACGTACGTCCCTGTGAGTGCTTGCTTGCTACTTTCGATCCGTTATTGTACGCGTTCGTGCGCTTCCACTTGCCTTGCTTTCTGTTCAGGAATTTCAGTAATTCGTGCTACCATTGATATGGTCCGCTCAACCCGTCATGTGGATGCAATGTCTTCACCCAACATTTCCTTTCACCATGCCCAATTCCTTCCTGTTCGTTTCTTGCGTTTCTTGGTTCCTGCAGTCGCCCAAAGAGGTGGTCGGCTTTGATCGGCCTGTAGTGGCCATTGCAGCTGCTGCCTTCCACTCAGCAGCCATAGATGGTAACTCAATCCACACAATGATGGTGATTCACCAAGCATCTATGGATCATGACCAGATTAATAATCTAATTCCGCTTTGAGAGGTCCATTCATTCTGGTCCATTTTCTCGCTCTGCACCCGTTATTTGTCATGCTATCCTCTTCTCCTCCCCTGTCTGTTTGTACTTCTCCCTTATTCTCACCTTATGTCCATCAGAGGCCGATCAAATGTATCTGTGGGGCGGCAATGCCGCCCGCCAGCTTGGACTCGGCTCACGTGAGTCGTCCTTTCTTATTGCAACTGCACTCATTCTCTTGCCTGTTCTCCCTCGCCCCACCCCTACCACTCTTCTCCAATTTACCACCCACCTGTCTTTGGATCAATTATGATGTCTCCACTCCCCTTCTCCCCAAAAAATCTTTTGAGACGCCTAAAAAACCCTCGCCCCAACCCTACCGTTTTTCTCCAATATTGCACCCATCTGCCTTGAAACCAATCTCCCTTCTCCCCAAGCGCTCCAAGGTGCATTCGCCTCGGGTGCCAGAGGCGCTGGTGGGAGTGAGCATCCGGCACATGGGCCTTGGGGGTCAGCACACCCTCGCTGTCACTGGTAGGCTCGTATGTGCGCATGCTGCCATGCTCCGCTCCCCCATGCTCCCATGCTGCCAATCTCCCATGCTCCCATGCTCTTACGTTCCCATCCAATGCTCCTATTCGCCCTGCCACCCTCACAGCTGACAGTCAGTCAGCTGCTCTCACGGTCTGCTCAACGACGGCCCACGTTCTTCACCCACCTCCCTTCCTTTACCAACTCCCTTCCCCTTCCCCTCTTTCCACCTCCAATTCTCAGCCGACGGGCAGCTGCTCTCATGGGGGAAGGGTCTGCTGGGCCACGGCTCACGTTCTTCACTTACCCTCGTTTTCCTTCGCCATCCCTCGTCTCCTTTCCTCTTCCACATCCCCATTCCCCCTTCCTCTCAGCCGACAGTCAGCTGCTCTCATGGGGAAAGGGCCTGCTTGGCCATGTTTGAGTGTACTGACCCACCCTCCCTTCCCTCTACTACCTCCCTTCCTTTCCTTTCCACCTCCCCTCTCTCAGCTGACGGGCAGCTGCTCTCATGGGGAAAGGGCCTGCTGGGCCATGATTGAATTTACTGACCACCGTCATTGCCTCTACCACCCCCTTCCTTCCCGTCCCTCCACCTCCCCTCTCTCAGCCGACGGGCAGCTGCTCTCATGGGGAAAGGGCCTGCTGGGCCATGGTCCTCTGCCGCTCTTCACCAACCTCCCTTCCCTGTACCAACCCCCACCCTCCCCATTCCCCCTTCCTCTCAGCCGACGGGCAGCTGCTGTCGTGGGGAAAGGGCCTGCTGGGTCATGGCCCTCTGCCGCTCTTCTCCCGCCTCTCCAGGATGTCCAGGTGCGCAGCAGTTCTCAAGGCTCGGGATTCCTGCTCTTTTCTGTGCAACTAGTCCTCTTCCACAGCATCCTTGCATTCTGCGTTCTAGTAGCACTGTAGTCATCATTCACGTGCTGCTGGGCCGTGCCTGTAATGGCATCGTGATGCTGTGCCACTGCCACCGCCACTGCCTCCCCCAGCGATGCCGTCGACGCCGCCCGAAGATCATGGCTCCCAGCACCAGAAACATCACTATTTGCAGCGCCATCACCCCCACCAGCAGCAGCCGCCCCGTATCCCACACCAGCGTTACTATCACCGCCGCGACTCCCACCCTCCCCCGTGCAGCTACGCTGACGCACCACCCCCCATGGCAGTGTCGACTCGGGTCGACTCCCCTCACAGCCCCCCACGGCAGTGTCGACTCGCGTCGACTGTGTGCACACTAGAACGCAGAATGAAGACAACTCTCATTTAGATTTTCTTGGTGTCTCCACTGGTTCTATTCAAGCTGGTACGTCTCACCTCTCCTTTCTTCCCCGCTCCCTTCCCTTTGTTTCTTCCCCTCTCCCCTCTCCCCTCTTTCCTCTCCCCTCTCCCCTCTCCCCTCTCCTCCCCTCTCCCCTCTCCCCTCTCCCCTCTCCCCTCTCCCCTCTCCCCTCTTCCCTCACCCCCCACCCGTCCTCCTCAGTGAGTCGATCCCTCGGCTTGTGAAGGCTATGGCAAACACCAAGGTACGCAATCGCCTTACAGTATGGCCTCGGCTTGTGAACAAGGGTGCAGTATGGCGTTGTGATGTTATGCTGTGAGAAAAAACGAAAGTGTGGGTAGCGGGATATGGTGAGCTAGGAACATCGTGGACAGTTGTCATTTGGAGTATAAATCTCCATTCTCTCATGTGTCTGAGAAAAATTGTCACACCTTCTGTTCGTGTTTGGTATATCAGTTATTCGGTCTCTTGTCCCCTACCTTGATCTTCTCTTGTTCCAAACTCAAGTGATGTTTATTCCATGCGAACTTGCTGCTTGTGCTCCCATGTCATCATCAGGTCGTTCACGTGGCAGCAGGCCTGATGCACTCCGCATGTGTTGATGGTGAGCCAGCATGTGTTGACGGTGAGTCAGCATGTGTTGATGGTGAGCCAACATGTGTTGACGGTGAGTCAGCATGTGTTGATGGTGAGTCAGCATGTGTTGATGGTGAGTCAGCATGTGTTGATGGTGAGCCAGCATGTGTTGATGGTAAGCCAGCATGTGTTGATGGTGAGCCAGCATGTGTTGACAGGATGTATGCATACATGTATCTCTTACCGCGCCTCCCTTCAGGTGTGTGCATTCATGTAGTTGTTCGCCTCTCTGTGAACTCATGCATGCGTGCGTGTGTCTGATTGTGCCTTCTCGGTGTATTTCTGGCAGACAGTGGCTGCCTGTTCATGTTCGGAGGGAACAGATTCTCTCAGCTGGTGAGTCTGTGCGAGTGTCAATGTCAATGTGAGATGTGAAAGCGAGCTAGTGTGCGTGTGAGTGTGGGTTCACGTGTGCGTGCATCAACCTCACTGCATGCCCATCATCCCTACTGGGATAGGCAACGCAAGCACTTTGGGACTTTCAGTACATATTCAATCAGTGGCACTTTATTCGCTGCTGAATGCATGCATCCATGATGGCATGTGTCTGTACATGCATGATTTCATGCGTGCATGATGGCAGGGGCTGGGAAATGTGAAGGATCGGGAGGAACCAGTGGAGCTGACATCTCTGGAGCATGTTGTAACAGATGTGGCATGTGGTGGTTACCACACTGCTGCTGTCACAGGTACTGGCATGGTGTTTTGGTCATCTAATTTCTCCTCTCGCATTCTTCTCACTCCTTTCCAGTACTCCTCTCCCACACTCCCTTCCAACTCCTTCCTGACATTCTGTTTCATTGTTTTCCCTGCATGTCTACAGGGGCGGGTCACCTATTCACATGGGGAGCACATGAGTATGGCTGCCTTGGCCACGGATGTGTGCCAGGTTATCCTATGCTCCCATCTGTGTGACTAGAGCTCGTTGTCTTTCCCTTAGGATTAAAATTGTTTTTTTTGTCGCGCTGGTGTTGTGCATCTTTTGAGAGCCATCTCGCCTCACCTTTCCTCACCTCTCTGCACCACTCTCTCCTGTCCTTTCAATTCCTCCCCTCGCGTCTCGCTTCTAGCAGCCCTCGCCATGCACCCTCGTCAGCAGTCCCAGTGAGGGCGGCAGGCAGGTCGGCAGGGAAGCGGGTGCTTCAGGTGTCATGTGGATGGAAGCACACTGCAGCTCTTGCTACTAAGTGCACTGGTCGTTCTCACAACTAGCCACGAACAGAACAAACCATTGGCTGCTCTTTGCAGCTGTTGTGCATGAAGCTGGCATTTCTGAACCTTGCGAGATGGTGCAATCGTCTTCATTATTTCTCTCTTGCGCCATGATGTGGTGTTCAAATTCGGTGGTGCTGATGAGGGTGAAGGGCAATCATTGCGGGCGGCAACAGTCGGCAAGCTGTACACATGGGGTTGGGGCGGATCCCAAGGATCGCATGCAGTGGAATCACGGTCCACTGGAGGCCAATTGGTACGTGCTGGTAGATGATTATTGGGGGTGGTCCAATATGTTCTGTGGATGTGGGCTTATGCTCCTGAGTGTAGTACAGTTGGTGCTGTGCTTTGCTTTGCCTTGTGTGTTTTTTTCTGTTTTGGTTTTTTTTGCAGGGGCTTGGAAATGAGTTTGAGTTCTTTGAACCCATGCGGGTGTCATATGGAGCGTTCGACAAAACATCTCAACAAGGCAATAGCGTGTTAAATGTCCTCCAAGTATCATGTGGTTTCAACCACACTGCTGCCATTATTTCTAAAAAAACATCTTTCCAGTGATTTTGATTTCCATATAGTTGCCAATCTCCAAATCACCAATCACTTGTCAGGCTGAGGTACCATTCATCAGTGTGTATTTCTCCGTCAAGACAATGTCCAGGCAGACTCATTTTCTTCTCTTTGCTGTATGGCGTCACGTGATCTCTCTTCTGTTCGCCTGCTCTGTTGGTCCGCGAATGACTGTTTATCTGAGAACGCGCTTCGTATTGGAAACAACGAGCTTCAACCAGGCACTTAGTAAGCCGACATAGAGCGAAGCGAATTCATGAGGCCTTCGATAAGCCATTCCGATACGCTACTAGATGGCGAATCGCAACAACCATTATGGTAAGGTTGGCATTCTGACAGCGACGGGGTGCAGGCGTTCCTTTAGTTCCCGCCTAATCATAACATGCGAGGCGCTCCTTTCTCCGTGGCGATATAAAGGTAATCTCCCCTCCTCTCCCACGCTCCCACCACCTCACTCCCACCACCTCACTCACAACACCAAGCGCTCCTCTCCCACAGTCCCATCACCTCACTCACAACACCAAGCGCTCCTCTCCCACGCTCCCACCACGTCACCCCTCACCCCGGCCCCTATATTTATATTACCAACTATTATTTCAGTACCTTTATTACAATTATCTAAATCTGCGTCAGCAGTAATTTTAAATATTGTTTTTCTAATAGTTCCTTGGTATTTTGTTCTGGATATAACCTCTTGCCCTATATAACAATCCTTTGTATAGATAATAGCACCAAGCTCTTCTATTCCATATTCAACCGGGATTGTTTAATTGTTCGTGCTTCAGAATGCTGAAATGCCGCATAGTTCCCCTCTAACGAGTTCAGCTCTGCATTAGTAGCCCTTGCGATGTCATCCAATGCGCGTTTCGCCTCTAGAGGCGACCGTAACCAAGTTGCTGTCACGTTCTTAGCTCTCAACGGGTATCGAGTGAATATCCGTTAGTAGTACTACCAGCACTATGTCTCCGAAGCGTACCTATCATGCTGGTATGCGTCCGTAGCCCAGCAATTATCGCCTCATAAGCAACCGGATATACACGCGTTAGACAACCTACATGTCAATTATATTCTTAGCAGCAGCAAACGAGTACCCCCGTGTATCCCCTCTAGACGCCAGATAGCTCAACCACCGCGCTCAAGAGCCCAGCAGCACCAGCAGCAGCAGCAGCAGCGGCGGGCATGGAGGCGTATTTCTGGGTGGTGTTTGCGGTGCTGGTGGTGCTTTGCCTGGCGCTCGAGTTCTCCCGCGGCTCCAAGGACTGCGCGCAGACCACCCCCGCGTTTGAATCCTTCAAAAACAACTACCGGTACCTGCTCGTTTACTGCCTCATGATGGGTACGTTTGGGTCGAGTCAAAAGTCACCTCGCGATGCTGGTGGTGCTGACTTTGAGTCGACTCATAAGTCAACAGACACCTCTCGGTGCTGGTGGTGCTTTGCCTGGCTCTCGAGTTCTCCCGCGGCTCCAAGGACCGTGCGCAGACCACCCCCGCGTTCGAGTCGTTCAAGAACAACTACCTGCTCGTCTACTGCCTCATGATGGGTACGTGTTGTGTATTATTGCGGTTGAGGAATGGTGGGAACAACTACCTGCTCGTCTACTGCCTCATGATGGGTAGGACGGATAACGAGTCACTATGACTATGATATGGTATGATGTGATGTAATGGGTACGCAGCGTATCTCAATGCTACACAATGTGCACCACATATCACCTGACCATCACTGCAGCATTCCGTCCCCTGAATCCTACTCTCGCCCCACGCCCTTCACATCGCTCATGCTTCCCCCACCCTACGCCAGGCCCTCATAAGTCAGGATTTTAACCCTGGTTTCCTGATTTTTCAGGCTGGTTTTTTATAGTGACCCTGAACTGTCAGGATTTTTTTTTTTGAAGACACTGTAATTTCAGTGTTTTTTCTATTCCAGGTCTGTGTTTTCAGTGTTTTGCGATTTCGAACACTGAGTCAGTGTTGTATCGAGTTCGACCCTGAAACTGGAAATCGCATAACGCCAAGTTTGACGCGTCGTTTGCATTCAGGTACCCACTGTGCACCGACACCACCCTGCGGCTCGTACTGTTTTAGCTGCACTGGCCGAATTTGAGTGTTATTGTCAAAGGCGCAACCTGATTTGTCATAATATATTTCTGTATAACTGCATGTAGTTCTAGCTGTAGTGTAGTTATATTGCTGTCTTGCTTGTGGTGCACCCCCTCCTTGCTTGTCTCTTGTATAACTTGGGCCTTTGGCCCTTTAGTGAAACCCCCTTCTTCCTCGACCTAGCGTTTTACTCTCTAACTTCACCTAGCCATGGCTTCTAAGTTTCTAAGCTCATGCTAGGTCTTTCAACATGGTATTAAGAGCTGTTCGTTCCTGCGGACATACTCCCCTCATGGGCCCACCGTTAATTTCTGCCCGTCGCGCGCCCGTGGCGCGCGTCGGTTTTCTGCCCGTCGCGTGCCCGTGGCGCGCGTCGGTTTCTGCCCGTCGCATGCCCGTGGCGCGCGACGGTTTCCTGCCCGCCGCGCGCCCCGGGTTCGCGCGGC